GGAGAAATCACTATCAAATGTATTACTCCTTCCTGCTAAACCCAGAAAGGTCTCAAGTGTTCCAGATAGTCATGCCCAATCAGAGTAAACATGTAAAATAAAAACTATCTGCAGTCTATAATCTGTAAACATTCTCAATCTAGTTGTTTACCAGCATCAAAACTATACTAGAATTTACATATTATAATATTTTCATGAATATAGCCATTCTTGTTATTTGCAGGGGACTGGTCCTAAGACCACCATGGATATCAAAATTCTCACATGCTCAAGTCCCTTAAATCTTGGTAACCTTCAATCTTGGTAACTTTTTTCTAGATTCATCCAGCTCTAAGAGTACATTCTTCTCTAATCCCCTAAGAATAAATAATTGCTTCCTCTCCATGGCACAATATAATCTGCACATACTTTTATTAACCAAACAATAAGTATATCTGCCTCTGTTAAGAGGGTTAACCCATTAAGTCCCAAGTTTTCAATTCTGCGAACATAACAAATACTTTAATAGTATTTCAAAAGTTACCACAAGTGGTATATTTATTGCTCAATATAGGTCTTTTTAGGTGTTCCACATCTGGAGCAATGGGACAAAGTGGGTTAAAAGCTTAAAGTCAGGAACTGCACTTTTTTTATCCATTGTTATGGTCTCCTCCTCAGCACCCATGTCAGTGCTGGTTAGAGAAAAGGGTTGAGTAAAAGAATGTACTAAGGTATAACAATAACACAGAAGGGGAGGGAGTTCAGAATCCCCTTTTTGCTAAATTCTTCTTAGGGGTTAAAGCACTGCCACATCAGATTGATAAAAAGAAACTGAAGTGCCCTTGTGAAATCTCCCTCCTTTCAAAGTCAAGGCTGGAGTAGAAGGTGCTTTGCATATCCTTTCAACTTACAGATAACCTTCATGCCAGCAATACTCCCAAGAATTATTCTGTATTCTCCTCTTGTGATCTTGCAAACTACTGTCCAATTCTACTACTTTCCCATTTCCTATCAGTTTTTTCTAGGTATCCTTTCTAGCTATTCCTGCATCTGCTAATTTTTATGCAATTTTTCATGTTTCATCCATTTCATCCAATTTTTAACTACATTCAAAAATGATTTTTAAGGCCGGGAGTGGGGACACTCACCTGTCTGTAATCCCAGCGGCTGGGGAGGCTGAGGCAGGAGGATAACTAGTTCAAAGTCAGCCACAGCAATTTAGTGAGGTGCTAAGCAACCCTGTCTCTAAATAAAACACAAAAAAGGGCTAGGAATATGGCTTAGTGGTCAAGTACCCCTAAGTTCAATCCCCAGTAACCCCCCTCCAAAAAAAAGATTTTTATAAAATGATTATAGTTCTCACTGAAAAACCACCCAGAGCATTAAAAGAATAAATGCAATTTTTCTCTCATACAGGAAATTTTTCATTCATAACATCTATGCCGCTCTTTAACATTACAATTAATGTGGGTGGAACTGCAAAATAGATTGCACATAACAATATCAAATGCCCAAAATTCACTTTCAATTTCCATTCTATTTGAATCTGCTTCCAGATGTGTTTAAATGAATAATATTCATTATCTAATGTGCCAGACACTGTGCTAGACTCTATGGATATACACACAAAAAACAAGGAGGCCAGGTTTAGCGGAGAGGAGAAGGGCTACTCAATATTCACGGTGCAGTGTGATAAGTGCTATAGTGGCAAAAGAACAAGAAAGCAGTAAGCGGGACTAGAGTGTTCCACCTGGTAAGATTCAATGTTGACATAGTGAGAGTTTACTTAACTTCCAAAGTCCATGAATTCCCTGAACCCTGATAGTCAAATATACTAAGTACTATTGCACTGTCTTAACTTACACAACAATGTATGAAATCATTATGGTCTGAAATCTTGCTGAGATCTGGAATTGTAAATTATTTGGAATGGGAATGAAGCATGACTGGGCAAAAGCATCTTTCCATTATTACTTATTTTTCTTTTTCAGATTTTCCCCAACCTCTCCCTGCATGAGCCCAATCTTTGATTGCTGATATAGTAATAACTGAGTGTCATATTTTCTTGTCTTAGTAACTACACTTAAATCATGTTAGTATATTTATTATTCAATAACCACCATCTAAAAAAATCTCCAGAGCCAGGCACAGTGGTGCATGCCTATAATGCCAGCAACTCAGGTACTGAAGCAGGAGGACCTCAATTTTGAACCAGCCCCAGCAACTTAAGAAGACTCAGTCTCAAAATAAAAAAAATAAAAGGGTTTATGTCTCAGTGGTACAACATCCCTGGGTTCAATCTCTAGTACTGGGAGAAAAAGTCTCTTTCTCAAAAGAGCTTTTATTTGACCAAAACAAGTTCAGAGTCATAAATCCACCAAGCCTTATATAAACAGTTGCCATTTTAGTGATAGCATTTATTATCAACAGAGACAGGCTTATAAATGCCATTTTTATTCTGGAGCCAGTAGAGCTCAATTTCTCCCACTATTCTCCCTAACCTGCACCTAGCAAAAGTCATCAGGAACTCCTATCCCTCACAAACCCTTTTGCCAGCTTGAGGAGACCATTTCAAGCAAAATAGTGATTGCATCACCTGAGCGTCAACGGGATAACTTAAAACCTGAGGTCCTCCAAATTGGATGACCCGAATTTATTAAATCTTTGCATGACCCAGAAATGATATTCTCTGGCAACTTTTTCACAAGCCTCCATTATGACAGAAATTAAATCAGGCCACCCTGTTTGTTTTCAATAGCTTCTCCCATACACAGCAAAGTCCTTTTCCTTATCTCCTCATCTGCAATGAGGAAAACAGATCTTGGGAGGGACTCCACTTGGAAGCTGAATCTATGTTCATCTTTACAAATTCTAAACAGGAGTTTTAACAGTTATGCTGGGTCTGACTTTCAAAGGTCCAAACTACTCAAGATACTCCCTTTCTTTCACAAATAATTTCTATCTTCTTGCAATAAGACAGTGTGTGTGTGGAGGGGGTGGTGCCACAGTTGGGGAGCTACAGAACACCTCCAGGCTTCTCTCCTCCAGCAGTACAACTTCATTTTTGTTGGAAGGGTTTGTAACTACCACAAACATCCTGTCAGAGTCCAGAAGTGTTTTCCTCCTGAAATACTAGTTTTAACTGCCTAAACATTTCTTGTTATTGAGTGGACAAATTATTTTATTAGCTAACACTTTAGAGGCTTCTTCCCCTATAAAAGCAACCACATAGATTCGCCAGATCAGTCCTCTGAAACTGGCTTTTTAAGAAAATGGCAAGAATATTAAAAGAGTCCTAGGGGACCTCCTGGTACAAACTTCTCCTCCCTAACCATGGCACTTGTTTTCAATGTTCTTACCAATATGCTCACCATTCTCAAGCCAAACTTACCCATCTCCAACCCCTCAAAACCCAGCAACAGTTGCCCTCTCTTTTGGAAATTCTCCATCTGTCCAGAGCTCCCCATGCACTACCAGAGCTTTGGAGCTTCACCAGTGGCTGGCTGGCTGTCTGCACTAACGTCTTTCCTCTATAAAAACAGGATGGCGCTTCAACATGTTGGGTTACCCCAGTGGAAAGACTTCCTTTCTTTTCTGAAGTCTGTCATCAATCACTTTTTACCCTAAATAATGGGCAACTAAGCCCTCTGACCTAAGCACTTTCCTAACTCTTCACCTACTCCTGTTAATTGCCAATAAAAATTACAAACCAAGGCTATCGAGAATTTAGTGAACCAAGCACACTTTTTTTTTTTTTAATTCCTAATTACCCAAACTGTACTGTACAGAGTTTCTAACTCTCAGTATTTTCAACTCCATAAACCTAATCTGGAGAAATGATCCATGGTCATTATAGTATATCCAGTCAAAATAGTCATTAAATGCAGACTGTAAGCTAGGCATGGCAGAGCACACCAGTAATACCAGCTACATGGGAGGCTAAGGAAGGAGGATAGCAAGTTTGAGGACAGACTAGGCAATTTAGCCAGACCCTGCCTCAAAATAAAATTTTTTAAAAAGGGGTGAAGATGTAGCTCATTGACATAGTGCTTGGCTAGTACAGGAGAGACTCTTTGTTCAATCCCCAGTACTCGCTCACCAAAAAAGCAGACTAAAGGAGGGACACTGAAGACGGTCTTAAAATAATACCTCACAACTATAATTGCTGTTGAATTAGCACGATGGGCCCTTGAAGCAGTAATAGCTCCATCAAATGTGACTTATACTTGGTGATTTCTCATATGGTCTGATCTTTGCAGTAACAGAAAAAAAAAAATGGTGTCAGGGTAAATCTCCCCCACCCTCATTCCCATAGTACACAAGAAAACCTTTGTCAAATAAAAACACATATACGAAAAATATTTCTTGCTAGAAATTCTCAGTCTTGTAGCCCAAATCATTAAGCATCTATTTAGGGGTCCTACCTGGGGGATTTCTGGCGCTTGTCAATAAATCCCCGTAATAATTCTGTGAGGAGTTATCATGCCTGGCCTTTATTGTGGTATGAAGAAATAGCTATCCAAGGTCACGAAGGGGTATCAGAGCCAGGAGTCAAATATCTGGCCTCTGACAGATTGTTCATTGTTCTTCTTTTAGTTCCTTAAACCCCTAAGTGTCATCATTAATACCATCCCTAGAAACCAACCTTCTGTCATATCAAATTGGCATGAGCAGTGTCGCTTTGTCATATCAAGTTGGCATGATCGGTGTCAATATGGTTTCTGAGCAGCATATTATCAGCATGTTTTCATGAAATGATAAAATGCCCAGCAGCGCTTTCCATAACAAGGACTGTTTAAAAAGAGGAGGGGGCCGGTTATCCTCCCCAGGGCTGGAGGAGTTTCCCATTTCCCACCCTGGTCAGTGGGCCAAGCTGACTTTCACAGGGCCACGTGGCAAATGTGAGCCTCCTAAAGGTCGAGGTGGCGGTCGCTCCCGATGCCGGGGTCACACAGGACACCGCCACGAGGGCGGAAGGGCCAGACCACCGGCTCCCGGCGGCCGGTCCTCACAGGTCTCACCTTGAGAGTCTCGTAGGCGGTCGCCACCAGCAGGAAAGCCTCCTCGGCGCTCCGCGGGCTCTGGTCCTCGTCGCCGGGCTCTGGCCGGTAGCGGTCCGGGTGGTAGCGCCGGGCCAGCTGGCGGTAGGCCCGCGCGATCTCCGCCTTGCTGGCCGAGCGGCTCACGCCCAGCACGGCGTAGCAGTCCCGCGTGCCGCAGTAGAGCCCCTCCACCAGGGCCTCCGCGGGCCGCGCCAGAAGCGGCACCAGCAGCAGGGGCGACAGCAGCACCAACCGGCGCCGGCCGGCAGCCCCGGCTCCCCAGCGCCGAGCTTGCGGCGCTGCCATCCTGGCCTCGCTCGCGGCTCCGCCACGCCAGCTGCTTCCGCACTCCGCGACGCGCCGGGCGCCGACGCCCCGGCCCTGACGTGTCTGCAGGCGGTGCCTCTGCGCAGGCGCACACGCTGCGGCTGCTGCCTCCACTTCCTTCACGACCGGTTGCTAGGGGAGAGGACGCCTCAGCCGCCAGGCCGCTTCCGGCCTGTTACCCAGCGCCCTTCCTAGCCTCTGCAGGCTGAGGGCCTGATCTCGGCTGAACCTGGATGACGTCTCTGTGTCCCAGGCGCACTTAGCTAGTGGGTGCAGAGCGCTCTGCAGTCCACGATGCTCAGCAGCCCTCACGTGCAACCTTTTCCACATCGTGATTCACAAGCTGCAGTAGGTGCTAGGGTTCTTTGCATCGCCTTAGCGTCAAGAAGATACGTGAGTGATACTGGCCAACTTATATTGCTATAATGTGTGCATGTACGAGTATGTACAACAAATCCCAAAATAGTGCACCAATTTTTAAAAATTGGGAAAAAAATTTTTAAAAAAAGAAGAAGAAATTTGTAATGTTTTGAACAACCCACAATAAAAATTAAAAAAAAAAAAGAAAGAAAGAAAGAAAAAAAAAGAAGAAGAGAGAAGAAGAAATGTACATGGAGGAAAGAAAAGGAGGAAGAGAACGAGGACGAAGAAGAAATGTGCATTGCGTTTTAAAGCCAGGTCTCCAGTTCCGGACACCTTTTTTTCTCTAACCCCTTTCCAAAATAAAAGATGAACTTAGAAAATCCTGGGCGCTGCCTAACAGGAACCCCATTACCTTCTAGTTCTCTTCCCATTATTGACATTTTGGATCAAATAATTCTTCGCCTTGGGAGGGCTGTCCTAGTTAGTGTAAGATGTTCAGCATCATCCCTGGCCTCTCGACACTAGATGTCAGTAAGTAGTACCACCACCCCAGTCATGGCAATTAAAATGTCTCTAGATCTTGCCAAACGTATCCTGGGGGAAGGGTTACAAGAAAAAACACAGAACGCTCCATTAAATTTTAATTTCAGATTAACAGCAAATAATTTTTAGTATAAACATGTCCCAAATATTGCATGGGACTATATAACAATAATAACTTGTGATTAGCAACTTGATCACAGCTATATTAGGATTCTAGTAATTGGGATTGGTCAGTGCAGGCATTAGTAAATTGTGATAAACAGTGTTAGAAACTCATATGGAATACATAAAACTTTCTAGTATCAACGTGGACTCAAGATTTCCATAAACATAAACTTAACCTTAAGTATTTCATTTGATGTTAATTTGAGATGGGTCAAGCACAAATACTTATTCCAAAATAGAATTCTATTAATAGTCACATTTGCAAATTTGCAAGTACAGGCACAATTAATTCACATACATTGGAAGAAGTTTTACAATTAAAAACTTTCCCTTCAAAGTGGAGAAGTGTTTCAATGCACATATATTTAAAAACATATATTTTAAAAAAGCTATCTCAAAATCAGCTTTGCACTTAAACTTCCCTTTGGTCCCATTTACAAATTTGTTCATCTTAGTGCAAATAGACTGCCAGTCCACAAGTCTGCTAGTGTGAGGTAGGTGGTGATGGTGCTGGAACTTCACCAATTTTATGGCCAACTTCACCAATTTCTTGGTCAAGCTTGTATGAATATAACTTCTCTTTTGCCTTCTCAATATATGTCTACTGTTCAAAAATAATTAATACTTCTTATCTCTCCTGAAATCAATTCACTTTAAAAATGGGGGGGAAATTTTGCCTGTACTAGCTCCAGTTTTTCTCGCATCTGCTGCCCTTCACTATTCAGTTCTTTCAGTCACTTCTGTAAAGAAACTCATTTTTCAATTCTCACACTCTTCCAGCATTCTAATTTGGGGCAAGCAGAAAAATCACACAGCTCACACAACCCACTCCTAGTGGGTTTATATCCTGGACCTGCTAAGTCATTAGGGATAAAGAAGCCAGGTGTTTACTTACTGACCACTAGAGAGAGAAGAAAATTACTGATGAGAGATTTTGGGAGAGGACTCACCTTTCTTGAGTCTCACCAACGGTCGCATCAGAGACCATGATCGTTCCAACATTGTCCACTAGAGGGTGCTACTCACTCCTGCACTGTCTGTTGCAGATATCTGGATTCCAGAATTCATAGTGGTATATATTTTCCCTAACCTTCCTCAGAATTCATGAAAGACACACTTTAAAACCAAGCATCTTTGGGCTGGGGTTGTGGCTCATCAGTAGAGTGCTTGCCTAGCACGTTCGAGACCCTGGGTTCAATCCTCAGCACCACATGAAAATTTAAAAAATAAAACTATTGTATCCAACTAAAAAATAAATATTAAAAGGCATCTTCAATAAGAGAAAATAAATCTATATGATTGGATGTGTAAACGAAAGAGGAATGCTAAAAAACAGTTCCAATAACCACTCCTCTGCACTGTTCCTATCAGGATCAAGTCAAACCCTTGCAGTTGACTCCTTATTTTTTTTAATATTCTTTTAGTTGTCAATGGACCTTTATTTTATCTATTCATTTATAAATGGTGCTGAGAATCGAACACAGTGCCTCACATGTGCTATGCAAGCACTTTACCACTGAGCTACAGCCCTAGCCTCGCAGTTGACTCTTTTTAAGGGAGAAAAAAAAGGATTTTCAAAGAATGATCTCTAATGTGCAGGCTGACACCTATTTACATTTTGTCCAAATGAGTATGAAATTAGGCAAACAGTCATTTTTGAAATATGGTAAGATTTTACATGGGAAGCATAGGGAGATGAGCATTTACTAATTAGCATGATACCAAAGCAGCAGCTGGCTTCTGCCTGAGTGTGAATCACTGTATCCCACTGAAACAAAATGAAAGTCAACATTTAAAAAGAGATGTGAACCCTTAAGAAAAACTTTGATACAGAGAAGGATTTGCAAGTTGAGAAATGGTAAAATTTTTCAAAATTGATTACACGAAACTTAAGAGTATGTATTAAATCCACAATATTAAAGAAAAAATAACTAATTGGAGGCAGATACAGAAAAATATGATAAAGGATTAGTACTTTATATAAAAATCATACAAATTATTTAAAAAGTGTAAAGACACTATTTAAAATTTAAAAACAACAATCTGAATCGACTGCTGCCTACATCGCTGCCGCCATTGCTGCTGCCTCTGATTACCCCGCTGCCAGACTGGAATGGCCTGAAGGTCTTCTTTCTGGGTGCTGCTGCCGAAGAAGAAACCAAAACTGCTATCCCAGATGCACCTGCAACGGACACTGCTGCTGACTCCCAGAGATCGCCTGGTGACGCTGCCCCCACAGCTGCAGTTTCAGCTGCTGCTGACATGCAGCCTGCTGCCAACAACCACCTCCACTACCTCTGCTACAGGGGCTTGGAGGCTTGGTTCAGGAGAGACTCCGGTTTGGTTGCACATGGCTGCACTCTTTTAGGACACCAGCCAGGGCCTGAGGCCTGGGTGCCAGCATAGAAGCCTCTGTCTGGGAACTCCAGCTAGGACCTGCAGGTCCAGTGTGGGGAGTGTCTACAGGTTTGGAGGAGCCTGGGGTCTTTCTGCTGTGAGTGCTAGTGGCCCTTATCTTGCTGCTGCATCTCGGAGTTGCTCTTCTGCATGAGTGTGTCTCTCTGCAAGTAGGAGCAGCATTGAGATCTTGAGACTGCAGCATGGCCCAGCCTGGGGTATCTGGAGCCCAGATCCGTGGGATAGAGACTGGGTTTATGAAGGCTGATCTGGGTTTGGTACAGAGCAATGTCAGTGACAGGGCTGAGAAACTGTTGAACACTAACAGAGACAGTTTGACTTTCCAGCAAGATTTATTTTATTTTTCGATTCACTGATCTCTCTAGCATATTTGGAACAGGGTGTTTTTTGTGTTTTTCTGTGTGGAGGACAATAATATATGAATGGTATTTTGCATTTTTGCTGTATTCTTATGTCTTTAATTTTGTTTTTCTTTGTTCATACTCTTCCTCTCTCGTCTATTTTCTTTCCAGTTTTTCTCCAACCAACAGCCAGTCTCATCAGCTCCTCTTCCACTCTTCCTGTGAATTTTTACTTCTGGCTTCTCTCTTCCTCCCTCATGAATATTGTATACTGCACTGCCTCTGTTCTCTCATCCACCATTTGAGATTGTAAATCTTTTTGACAGGTATTCTGTTTGTACTGTAGATAGTTATTGAACTTGTCATTTTGGTTTAGTGCGAGAAAGCCGTGGACAACTTGGTGGGAGCTATTGGGTTTAGGGCTGTATATTGTGTACACTGAGTACTGTTGATTTTGGTCTCACCAGTGAAGGCGAGGTGCTGGAAACCTTTGGGGACACTGTGGGTCTACAGGTTAGAATTTGTACTGCCTGGGATCCATATTTCTGTGTGGGAAAACACACAAACAGCGTGAAAGAACGGGGGAGTGAAGCGCCCCAAACAAACCAAGATGCTTCAACAATGGAAGCCTCTGAAAACACAGTAGAGAAGGTGTCATAGAAGGAGTTCAGATTGTAAGTGGTTAGATGGATATATAAAATAAAGGATGGTGTAGAGAATGAAGTCAGGGAGGGAACACGGGAAGTGAAAGACCACTTCAATAAAGAGAGATCATGAAAAAAAAAACAAGCAGAAATCCTTGAAATGAAGGAATCAGTGGACCAAATTATAAATTTGGACCACTTAGAGGACAGAGCCTCAGACAATGAAGACAGGATTTGTAATTTTGAAAGTGGAATTGAACATGCAGAGAGGATGGTGGAAAACCATGGGAAGAACATCCAGGAATTGTTGGATGGCATGAAAGGATCAAATTTTGGAGTTGTTGGAGTGGATGGAGGAGCAGAGATACAGGCCAAGGGAGTGCACCATCTTTTCAATAATATGGTAGCAGAGAATTTCCCAAACCTAGAGAATGGAATGGAAAATCAATTACAAGAGGCTAACAGGACCCCCAAATGTACAAAGTTGCAGCAGACCCCCACCAAGAAACATTGTAATGAGAATGACTGACACAC